GTACTCATGGCCATTGATCAGTGGTCTTTGATCAGTGGGTTTTGGTCAGTGGTTGTTGATCAATGGTCATGAGAATTTGCATATTTATGATTAAGGAACTGACCTCACAGCCCATTGTTCCTTCAGTGGACTGGTTTCAGTCATTATGCAAATGTACTGTTTATAAGATTGGGGAAACCTGCAGTCAGTGGAGACTGAAGAAGTCACTTGGATGAGTGATGAAACGTTTCTCCCAGAAAACGCTACATCCAGATGAACAGAATCAACTTTTGGAGATTTTACACAACTTTTTCAGAATTGGGGTTGTATATCTGGAAGGTTTAAAAAAGTGGTCAAAAGTGAGCCTTATGACTAGATGAAAAGTGCGCTCACACATTGTTGCTAATGTGAAATATCTGCTTACAGAATCCAATGTTTATCTGGATTATTTCTCCTTTGTTGCTCTCTTTGTCCTTCCCTGGCCCTTCCTCTTATAACAAAGAAACTCTTCTGAGTGCCAGTCATGCCTGAAGAATAGAACTGTGCGCCTGCTCCATAGCGTACCCTCCAGCTGTCATCTCTTTTCAGATCAGATCAGGAGGAACCAAAAATGAAAGGTGCATTCCACCTTGAATCTAGCTGCAGCCCCTGCACCTGCTTGAGAGAGGCTTTATGGCAAACTGTGGGCACAATGGCACAGTGTTGTTTTGTGGTGGTAGTATGAACTCTGGCTCATATTGCCCCTAGTTCTGCAGTCCTCCACGAATGGGAAAGGTGGCTCCTACATTACTATATTAAAGTGTCTTAAATCGCAGTTCTATTCACTTATTTTTGGAATATTTTTATATAAGATCAGAAGGTCTGCGCTTACTGTGCATGAAAAATGCTACTAGCTCTGGGTTTTGAATGGGATTAGTCCCCCAGTGTGACGCATACCTAGCCTGCTGAATGGTTGGATACTTAATAAATGGTGAAAGCAGTAAAAAATTTAAGAATTCAAGGCAGCACTTACGTGGATACCAGTGTGAGTTTAAATAACCAGGGACAGATGGATTTCACTTCTTATTCTTCAGATGCAACATGAGAATTTAATTGTTACTGACAGGAGAAAGACAATAATGTAAAGTGATGCCACAGAGGAGGTCTAGATAAAATTATAATGCTGCATGCTTTATTGCTTCAGCCCTCCAGATGCAGAATTATGTGTTGTTTTTGTAAGGTATATGTACGTGATTCAAATCTTTGGAACGACATACAAGTATGCTATGGATTTCTAAACACTGCTGAAGAATAGTCTTGTGTAAATAGCTGTTTGCTGCAATAATTGTAATACATTATCTGGCATCAAGTGTGCTTTATTCCTTTCTGAGCTGTCTCCTGTGCTGGTTGTGGCTGACAGCAGTTTTGTGACTGGTCATTAAGAGGGTCACTAGAGAACACCATTACCAAAGATGAGGCCCATCAGCAAGCACTGGTTGACTAATTATCCTCTTTGTGTTGTCTATTTCTGGGAGACCAAATATAGCTTTCGGTTGGTGCAATAGTTGTCATTGCTCTTCTGTTCTCATTATGGACAGGTACTTAACATAATGTACATATACTGCATGCATAATCACATCTCACGTTTAGAGTGGAAAGATGAAACCTGGCTAAAAGCATTGGAGGGGAGAGAGGAATGTGAGATTTGAAATTTAACAGACAGCATGCAGGCATATCCTGATTTCCTTTCAGTGTGTGCCTATTCATATCTTTGTGGGGAGCGGGAGTATTCAGGCAAAAAGCTTTACTCAGTATGTGCAGTACAGTGTGATCTCTGCCTAATAATTTTAAGGAGCTGTGATCCTTAAGTCCTTTGAGAACCAAGCTTACATATGTTATTGATTCTGCATAAAATCCCAATTTGGCCGATTTAGATCATCCGATGACCCTCTACAGAATTATAAAGCCTAGTAGTTTATAAATATTAAAGAGTCCACAGTGAACTAACAGTCCAAATCACAGCTCAGCTCATGTAGACATGTGGTCTTATATTCATGACTTTAGAGTAGACTTCATGGACTTGAACTGGAGCCCTTAACCATAATTAATATGTGCCTAACCTTATTGTCTTAAGCAAGACATGTACCCATAATGTTGAGTGTGGCTGTGTAAGCAGGTCTAGCTTCCTGCAACGTGAGTAATACTTTTGAGCAGATTTTTATTTATTTAAAACTTGGGAACAACTTGTTTCTTTGGGGTTAGAGTCTGTGTGTCTCAGCCACTTATGGTAATGTCTAAAAAACTGACTTGTGATGGAGCCCTATGTGTGTTTTTATTTCTTTCACAGTCTTTCTGTATCTGTCCTTCACTCTGACTTTGTTGCTGTGGTTTGTGTCTCCTCTGTAAAGCAGCAAATGAAGGCAAATGCCTTGAAGTTTTACTGCATTTAGCATCCTTGTTGGCTTGCTGTGACACTTTAACTGCACTTTCAAAGATCAGGCTGTGGTTTGCTCTTTCCTCTCAAAACCCCAAGCACCATCTGTTGTCATTAGTGTCTAACATCCATGATATAGCAGGACTGCTGTCTCTGTCTGGTTCTTCTCTGTGATCTATGTCACCCGCCGCTTATTACCCTTTGAGGAAGGCCAAATGTCCAGATTTAAATGCAGTGAACTTGTAATATAGGCTATGACTCTATGTGAGCAAGGAGAGATGGTTTGTATAAAATTTACAGTATGAGAAATTGATTTTTCTAAGCATTAGTCATTGTGGAGGTGTGTTGTTTTGAGTTATCTGTCCAAAATGCAAGATTTCTGTTAAAACAAAAAAGCTAGTCTTGTGAATATTTTGTGCTTGTTTCAATTAATATTGTTCCATCTTGTCTCTTTTCCTTTCCCCTTTTCCTCACAGATTATGTAAAGCGGAAGGTTCGGAGGCGGCCATCGTGGGGGCGGGGCATCATACGGAAAAAGAAGAACTACAAGAAAGGGACAGAGGAGGAAGAGGAGGAGCCTGAAGCAGAGGTGGAAACGGCAGGGCCCAGCGACTCCTGTTTAACACAGGATGAGGAATCATCTTGCGATATTACAGGTCCCCAACCCAATGGCCATCATCCACATGCCCCCTCCACAGAAGAAGAAAGCTCCAACGAACCCCCTGTTGCAGCTCCCGATAAACCTCCAGATGCTAGCAAAGCCAGAGAGGCGCCAATGCCTAAAGTTGAGGAGCCTGCAGCTAAAGAAGCAGAGCCTGAGATCACAGGGAAACACACCGAACCACATTGCCTTGGTGGTAGTTCTCAGCCCAACACAGATGGGGATAGAGAGGCCAGTCGGGCTGACTTCCAGCCTTTGATTGAAATGTCGGTGTCTTCAGATGCTGAGGACCAGCCTAAGCACACAGAGGTTCTCCTGGTTTCACAAGTGGACTGTGTGAATGGAAATGAGTCAATGGACAGCCTTGACTTGCAGAGCCTCAAGGGGAGCAGTGAGGCAGAGACAAGGACTCCTCAGAGCACGGCTGAGGGCTCTAATAGAGCTGAACAGGATGAGCACAAAGACAAAAATAAGAGCAAACCAACTCAGGAGCAGCATCCTCAGGATGGAGTGGCAGTAACGGAAACTGTTGAGGACGATCATAACAAAGAAGGTATAATGCCAGTCTTGGAGTTATGTTCCAGCAAATGTAGAGCTTTTGCTTGCAGTACACGCTTTTCACTATTAATGCTTTCTCACACTTTCAAAATCCAAAAATATATGAGATGCAATGTCAGGGCTACTTGTTCTGATCTCTTAATTTGAATTGCTAATTTTTAAATTCTAAATATGTTTTTATGCAACGTTAACAAACATCTGTGAGTTTTTAGACATTCAGCCAGTGGGTTGCCTAGCACTTATCTATGATAAATTGCTGTTATTATCATCCAGTTTTCTGATGTATGCTTGGTTTAAAATAGGATGTAAGACTCAGTAGTGAAACATAAGTAGCATTAGCATTTATAAATACCATTCTTGGCTTGGATGCATTTCATAGCAAAATGCCATGGGCTTGAAAGTTATATGGATATGTTACACCTCCTGATATGCATCTTTGGATGGTTTTCAATTTTTAGATTTTCAGCAGTGGCTGCCTTTCCTTTGCTCCAATATATATTTAGTTTCTTTGCCATGAAACCTTATGCCCTTTCTACTGGGATGTTGTGTTCAAGTCAGAGACGAGCAATAAGTTTTTGTTTGATTATGGGCCTGTGGTTTGGCTTATGATGAGGCCAGCTGGAAGGCTGAGGTAATGGTGCTGATAAAATATGAAGAAGCCATCAGAGGGTGACATGATCGGACAACAGAACACAAATTGTGGCTCCCGAACCAATAGAAAAACTAAGCTACTCCACCCCCATCTCATTAAACACTGAGGCCTGCCTTTTGTTTTCATCAAAGCGTGTCTTGAACCTTTGTAATACATGGAAAGGAAAGAAGCCAGATGTGAGATATTGTACACTTTAAAGCTGATCGTAGCTGCAGATAATTTGTTTTCCTGTTGTATAATTGCATTGGACCTGTAGCCATGACATTTTAAATGTATTTTTCTTTGAATAGCATTTGAATGAGAAGAACAAAACTGCATCAATTTAGTTAGTTTGCTTAGGTTATTCAGTTACTCTTGAATGCAGTTAAATATGTAACATTTCTTTGCTAATCTATTCATTTGTCTTTTCATTGATGTCTTTGAAGTGGGGACATTCAACAGTAGCTCATCAGAGCAGTTGAAGGAGTCCGCTGAAAGGACCGAGGAAGAGCCACAAGCAGTACCTCCCCATCCTCCAGTGGTAATTGACCACCAGCGACTTTTGGTAAGAATTCTATTTTTTTAAGAAAATAAATAAAGCATTATGACCATAACAGGTGTAGCAGCACACCACATGCACTTAAGCTTCCTTACATTCTTGAAAATACTGTAATTTTATTGGGGTGCTTTCAAGGTTTAAAAGGCGCATAGATTTTGGCTAAAGTGCTCGAAATTGCTTAAAACTGCACTGCTTTTGTGATGAAATGCTTTCTGACTGAATAGTTTGCCTCTTAGATAAAGAAAGAAAATAAGTTGGGGAGAACCTCTTCTTTTCCATAAAATAAATACGACTCCACTCAAGTATCACCTGCTGCTTGGAGCCTCTGTGTTTGGCTATAGTGTGATCTGCTGGTGTTTTTGAAATATACGCCTTGTGATGGAACAGTGGGTGGGACATGACAACATGCTGGGAGGTGGCAGGTTTAATGAGCGTTAGTTTGATAATGAAAAAGACAAGGTCATGGTTGAAACGAGCAAAATCTGTAAGAGTGGCCTCCTGTAAATTCTACAGGACGTGGTGGGGGAGCTTTTGTCACTGTAGCTAGGCTAGCTGTCACTGTGGGTATGTTATAAGTATTATGGGGAAATACAGTTTTACTGATGTCGGTTTAATTGAGCATCAGTGTAATCATCTTTGACATAGGTCGATAATTAGATGTGGTCTAATGTTAATTGGCCACGTGCTCATGTTACTAATGTGGAGCTGTTAATGCTGGTTTAAGAATGCTAGTCGTGTGAAAGCCTAATAAAATACATCTGTGTGTGCGTTTGCACTGGAAAAATGAATAAAGGTTATGTTTTAATCTTTAAGTTGCCCGACATAGTTTGATACATTATTCTTGATGGTGTTTTACTTAAAATTGCCATTCGTTTTGGAAAAAATATTGTTAAAAGATTTTTTTAAAATAGATCTGTGTGATCAAGTATGATCAGTATCACGTATTTATGAGCACCTTATTCATGAGGTGCTAGAGAAGCTCGAAAATACTTTTTTCCAAGCACTTTTTAAGCATCCTATCGTTTAAACACTAAAACGGCAACAGGAAATCGTGACCCTTAAATGTTGCTGAAATGGCAGCTTAATAATTCAAAGCTTGTTTGATTCAGATTGAGACATTTTCTTCAACTGTCTGTTGTGACTTTATTTTATCACTGCAGCAGTTGTATTCAGTATTTCTAATTAAAATACAACAGAAAAATCTACTTGAAAGTTTATAAACACTGGCCTCTGGTCTGCATTCGCTTATGCTGAAATAATTGGCTGAGAAAAGGCACACACACACACACACACACACACACAATGGAACTAAAACACTTTTTTCAACCATCAAGACTTCAGCTTTTTAAAATCCTGTCCACACCTCATTGCCATCTTGTTGATTTTACACAGCCATCATTCTGATTCAGACCATGAAGGATGTAACAGCTGGTGTGATTTGGCATTGTGCACTGTTAAGCATTTCAGATTTAACAGGTAGTGTGATCTGTATAAAAATGTTCTGGTAACACAAAGGCAAACATTTTGTAATGAGGAAATAGTCACAATAAATGTTAATAAACGAGCATTTCTTATGATTTTAATCACTTAATGTATCCAGTTATGATTTCAACAGTTTCCAACCTGAGTTGTTTTGTTAGAGGAAGAAGATTGTAGGATCTTGCAAAAATATTTAAACAAATTAAACAATTCCCCCCCAAAAATGAAATGTGCAGTAGCCAATCCAATTATTAGAAATTCTTTAGAAATTCTTTAGAATTTCTACTAATTGTATTACTAATTGTAAAGTAATACTGGTGTTATAAAGATGGTATAAATATAGGGTTGCCCCTTTTTTGGTAAATACAAATGGCTTCACTTCTGATCATTTTAAGAAAATCTATAAAATATAAATGTAAAGCAAAGATGTATTAGTTCCAACACTACCAGCTGTGGACTGTCACATCTTGAGTGCATAATTAGATTTTGATTATGGAGAAGATGAACTATAATCAAAAATGTTGAAAATATGTTTTTGTTTAGTGTTATTTAAGTTCATTTGGCTACTTGTTGCAATGCTGTTGTTAACAGTCTGGGTGAAAGGCTTGCTTTTTTGTTTTCGCCTCCCTTCTGTAATGGAAACAGCTGTGCCTCATCTGTATTGTCTTGATTGGTCACTCTTTGAATTATATGAACCATTAAATCATCTTGTTTGTGCATATTTATATATGCAAGTGAAACTCTGAGAGGGAGCCAGAATGTGGCTTGTTCTGACCCGTATCGTATTCATACATATGGCTGATAAAACTGCAGATGTTTAAAAATGGCTGCTTTCCGCATCAGGATTACTAATCGGTTAGCCTGGTTCTGCTGGCTTCCTGTTAGGAGAGTTGTTCCTTTCCACTGTTGCAAAATACTTGTAACATTTCTCTGCAACGGTGAAACATAAAGCTCCTTGAAGTTTTATGTTGCACTATGAATTGGTGCTATGTACAAAATGTAATGGAATTGAATTGATTTACATTTTAATATGTGTTTTATTGATGTAAAACACTAGTTTATAGTTGAGTCTGAGATATTACGCAGCCATTTGCAGCCCTGGCAGATTGAGCACTCCTCTCGGACTCTGATGCAAAGTCGTAAACAGGCAAGCTTCAAGTAAGCTGCACAAAGTAAGAAAGGGGAAAAAACAAAACAGTTTCTAGTAAACTTTTATTAAATGCACAAGTTGCACAACCTCACCCATTCAGTTTTAATTGATGTTAAAATCAATCTTTTATATTGTCTTGCCTTTAGACTATTGAACTTTTCTCCCTCCCATTTAATCAACAGGTAGATTAGACGCCTGGAAAGTCCCACATTTTAACTTATTCCTTTGTGTAACTGTAGAATATAGAAAAAGTTGAATAAAGTCTTTGTAAAATTAGAAATTTCAAAAACAAATTCTGTTGGATTATCAGAAAAAATACCAGAAAACAATGTTTTCTCTCTCTGTCTCTCTCTGTCTCTGTCTCTTTTTGAATGGGATTTAAGGTATTGAGGTTGTGGAAGCGCAGTCATGGGTGACCAGCCTTAAGCTTTCACCAGATCCATAGGTCTCTTCTGGAGCTGATGCTGTCACACTGCCCTTCTCAGATGAATAACTTCTTAAGCTTATCCCTCCTTTTCATTCATGCTACACTTACGCCACTGTCGCTCGTCCCCTTCCATCTTTCAATTATCGACCTTTTGTATCCTTGCCCTCTGAACATAGGAGGAAACCAATTACAATGGAAAGAACGAATTCCACATCGTTCAATCAACAGGTGTTGTTCCAGCTAAATTTGAAGGAAACAAGGTCATGACTCAAACATGAGCTTCTCTCTGACCCACTAGATCTGCCAACTCGTCCAAGGGTGTGCTCAAGTAAGTGGAAGCATGTGAAGCAGCTCCGTGGTACTTTGCACTGTCACGCCAGGGTCCCACCTAATACCCCAAGTGTAAATTGGAGCCTCGGCTCAGTGGGCCCCCTTGACAGCACTTCCCACTGATCAGATGGTTGGGGAGGGGGCGCTGGTTTTACAGCGCTCTGTGTAGTGTAATTGGTGTAAAAGAAGTGTCCTTCTGACATGTTCCTCAACGCTCCGAAGAGACATCCAACTATCAAGCCATTATCTAGTGGCTTTTACACACATCCCATGGGGATGATGGGGACCGTAGGGGTACATATCTCTTCGTGCTGAACCTGACTCCATCTTTCAGCCTGATTGACAGGCTTTTTAGCTGGCCTGATCTTAGTGCTTCAACTGGCTGCCCCTATGAACAGCCACACATAGCACTAATCTGGAGGTTTATTTGTTAGTAGGGGGAAGAAGGGAGATATCTTAAAGAAACAGATTGTGAAAAGAGGGGACTGTGAATAATTGCTTTTTCATCCCAGTCTTACGGAACAAATTGAATTTCCGGTGCGCAGGATGAGAGCCGCCATTTAAGCAGATATTTGCTGGCGGGGCTGGGACTGGCACGGTGCCTGATGTGTGTTAGGGCCCACAGTGAGTGGTGTACTGTTCCCTCACTCTTCAGTTGTATTCATTGATTGTAGAAGCCTCATTATTCCTGACTTTTAACTTGATGGAAGAGGCTCTGAAATCTCTCTGGAATTAAATACCATCAGAGTGTTATGAGTTTGTTCACAGACCCTACACGCAAAGCCTGTAGGACGGAGATGGTATTATTTCAGTATTCACACCCTGCCTTTCAGAGCCATTGCACAGTTATTTGCTCTGATTCACTTAGTAAAATCAAGTTCTGTTATTGCCAGTTTTTCTGAAATGATGCTTGATGCTGTCTGGATCAAAATGAATTCCTCAGTATGAATAAATAGGTCCTAAGGCTTGTTTCTCTGCCTACTCCAAAACGTCTCTCATTCTCAGCTGTTTTCTTTCATCAATAATCAGACACTTGTCCACAGATGGGCTAGGAGAAGTGGTGCTGAGGATTGCAGATGAGAATTCAGTAACAAGAAATCCAATCTGGCCCCAGCAATTTTTCCTCCATCTCACCAAGAACACACAGATTATCGTCTGCTCTGCTGTTTCCTTTAGCAGCTGCCCAGAAAAAGCCAGTGTTTCTAGTCACTGGCGCAGTATGGAGCCTTTCTGGCTTGATGCTTAGTTTCTACAGCATGTCAGGATTTCCTGTTTATAGAAGCTTGTCAACAGAAATGGCCCTGCTTCAGTTTGTCATCTCCCTTCATTTTTTTAGTATTGGTAACAGCAGGGGCCCCCTTTGGCAAAGTAGCCATGCCTCGTCCCTGTTCAAAAGAAGACAGCCTAATAGTAGTGCTGGACCATCGTTTTGATTGTCAATAAAAATAGATGGTGCTTGAAGCGCTTCTTTTATTTTTATTCATTCCCACTGATTACTTTGACACATCTCCCATTTGCATGTAATTGCATACCTGTGCCTCTTGGCTATGCAGGTGAGGGTCACTTGTTTGCTCACACAACATAAACATACCAGTTAGTCTCTCTTATTTCTCTTCTAAT